AAAAAAAAAAAAAGATTGATGCTTTTCAAGTCTGAAAAAATAGGCTGAATTCTGCTCTCCTTCTTCGAGCCATTTTCTGAATAAATGCTCCGTCAGCTTTGCGTTTGTAAATCTCATCCAACCTGCAGGTCAACCAGTTCTATCTTATCAGATTCACTGAGGGTGTCTATTGGTTTGGAAGTCAGACATGTGATCGTTTGTATCACCTGTGTCTCATCAGATCTTCTTTTTTTGCTAAATCACTGCTGTATTTTCTAAAGAGTTTTCCAATTTTATATTTCAAAAGTTCCCAGTTGCTACAAAATGTATTATCTGTGAGAGCTTTACTCCAATAAAGTTTAATGAATCTCTGAACTTCACAAATCACTTCTTTATGCTGAAGAATGGTTCTATTTAGCTTCCAGTATGAGGTTTTAGTGATGAGGGAGGATGGGATTGATAAGCTAACCATTTTATGGTCTGAGAGTGGAGTAGGATAAATATCCGTTTTAATTTTCTCTAAACCTTTTGAGATAAGCCAATAATCGATACGCGAGTGCCTGGTTTGAGTCTTACTACACCACGTGTAAGCTATTTGAGATGAATGAGAATCCCTCCAAGAATCGACTGAGTTGAATCTTTGTGCCAACAGTCTTATGAATGAGTTAAGAGTCTGAAGGCCATCGGTCCAAATGCCTGTTAAACACTGTATTAAAGTCTCCACCAAAAATGATAAAAGAATTGGGATATTTAGATAAGCAGCGCAGTAGGCGCTCCTCCAACCTATCAAAATATAGTTTATTGTCCCTCTGACAGTTAAAACCATAAACACTGAGAGCTGCTAAACAGTGCGCGGGCTGCGACTGATGGCCATGAGACTGTAACCTTCTTCTTCTTCTTTTCAGTTTAATGGCGGTTGGTCAACCAGCTTAGATGCGCATTACCGCCGCCTGCTGGACTGGAGTGTGGACATTTTAAAGAAATATAATCTACTTAGTTTTAAGAGTTTTAATCATCTGTGTTTTCTTAAATTAGTCGTTAAATGTATAAATAGGATGGCCCCAGAGTGTCTCAATAGATACAGAGACAAGATAGTAATCGTATTACCAGGAGCAAGGTGAACAGCAACCGCAAGATATATCGCAGATCTACATTCGGTCAGTCAGCTTTTTCCATGCAGGCCTGACGTCTGTGGAGCACACTTCCAACCGAGGAGCACACTTCCAACCGAAATCAGATTGATTACAGACATCAGATCCTTTACATGAAGGTTAAAGTTTGGTTAAAGGGAAATCAGAGATGTAGTCATTTTGACTGATGGTTTTAATTTTATTTTAATTTATTGTCTATTAATTGTATTTATGATGTAAGTTGGTTTTATGAAAATGTATGTTTTATTGTAAAATGTATCTATTTTGATTGAAGCCCAACAAGGGACAATTGTTGAAAATGAGCTATAAACGTATGTGCGTTACATCAGTTTCATGTTTTGTACTTGAACTATGTTAAACTGCACTGTCCCTTTAAAATAAATACATTCAAAATTCAAATTAAGTGTTAAGTCGTGTTTTTTGCACTGATCGCACTTCTATGTACACCTAAACACTAATGATAGCTAATTTCACCTTGTGTTTGTTTTTCATTTACATCAATGCTGCCAGCATCTCTGGATGGTCTCCGCCTCAGCAGCAACACAGATTTACATAAAACTGATAATTGATTAATTGTGTTAATTCATCCGTTTTTGTGTGTGTAAAAACTGTAAACCTATATCCAATGAGTTTGTTCATTTAATATTTTAAACTTGCATTAATGTGATACTGGAACTCACTGTTGTTGAAAATGGGCCTAAAATTCGACTTGTTCAGTTTTATTTATATATTTTTTATAGTTTAATCAAGGTGCCTTCACTCAGAGCTCCACTCTGAGCAGCACTTTGTAAGAGTAACAAGGAGAAACCAGGGTCATGAAAGGGCAGCCTGTGAAAAATCACTGTGTCAACGTATTTTCCATTGTTCACTCTTATATACAGTCTTGGATATACTATGTACTATATTTTTTTTTTTATTTCATTTCTTTTTATTGTTGGTATTGTTATTTATTATACATGGGGCGATCGTGGCTCAAGAGTTGGGAGTTCGCCTTGTAGTCGGAAGGTTGCCGGTTCGAGCCCCGGCTTGGACAGTCTCGGTCGTTGTGTCCTTGGGCGAGATGCTTCACCCGTTGCCTACTGGTGGTGGTCAGAGGGCCCGGTGGCACCAGTGTCCGGCAGCCTCGCCTCTGTCAGTGCGCCCCAGGGTGGCTGTGGCTACAGTGTAGCTGCCATCACCAGTGTGTGGCTGGATATGTAAAGTGCTTTGGGGTCCTTAGGGACTAGTAAAGCGCTATATAAATACAGGCCATTTACCATATATTCTTCTCTTAACAGCGTGCTCTTTTCACTTAGAGCAGGTTTGCATACAGTTTCCGTTGTTCTTAAAGCACAATGACAATAAAGATTCTGATTCAGCCATCGTTCAGATAATGGTGAAGAAAAGAGGAACGAAGATGTTGATGACATGCAGCAGTGGGAGTGAAAAGAGGAGTGGGGGATTCACCTGATGCTCTGAGCCTATATCAGAATAACAAATGACTCAGCAATTATTCACTGTGATTTCCAACATTTCTGCTCAGTAGAAATGAATCTGATTTCCTTTCAAAAACAATTACACTCTGCTCCTCTGAGCAGTAGTGATGTGCTTGGTCTGTGTGTTCTGATCATTTAGCTAACATCAGTACAAAGACTTTCTTGTCAGTTTGATAGTTGTCTTGTCTAGGGAGCTTGGAAAAAAACAACTGGACTTCTTTAAGTTTCGTGAAGACGTTTCACCTCTCATCGAGCTTCTTCACTTCTAAAAGCAGAGGGTGCAGAGTCCTGGGTATGTAATCCCATGTGGGAGCCTTAAGAGGACCAACTATATTGATCATCCGCCTTATCACATGTGTGAAAAAGGGCGTGGGGTCCTTGTTAGCAGAGGTTTTGGGTGAAGTTATTGTGAGACCTTATGCGACCCATTGAGATCACCTGACACAAGATGTGAGTGAGGGTCAGCGTCTGTTAAGCGTCTGGGAAGGAATCTGAAACGGCTTTGTACGGCAGACAGATGGCGTCAAAGATGGCTGCTCACAGTGGACATTGTCAAGTCAAGTGGCTTTATTGTCATTGCAACCATGTGCAGTGGTACAGTACACAGTGAAAGGAGCAACGTTCCTCTGAGACCACGCTGCTACAGACAATCAAACAGGATTACAACACACCAAAGCAAAGAGAGTGCAACGCCAGGCAGAACCGAATAATACAGACATCGCAAAAGTGCAACAACGACAGTGGGTTGTGCAAAAAGTAACTTGGTGTATGCAGGTGTGCATATGTGTGCATATGTGTGCATGAGATCGAAAGAGGCACTTATCTGCACAAACCATGTGAGATGTGAACATTACGCCTGACCGTTATCGTTTAGATGCAGATATCAATCACAGACGGATTCCAGCTTCTACCTTGTGACAGGAAGGTTGTTGTGGCACAACATCCGGCAGCTGTCCTCTGTTTGAAAACAAGGTCTCCGTCTGTGTCCAGTTGGTGGCGCTAATGCGCCGTTTTGCTTGCTAAGCAACAATAGATTAGATAGAAGAAGAAAGTTTGCTCTGGGTCGCACAGTTGCACGTGGGACGTGATCACGCCGTGTCTGTTCACTGAGGATCAACACAGAAGAGAAGCGATTCAACTCCGCGGGCTGCGTCCATCTCAGTAGTTTACGCCAGAAACGATGAGGCCAGGTACAGTAAGACACGTGCTTACGCTCGGTAACGCGGGCTGCTGTCTGATCGTGTGTTCGGTGAGTCTGTGCAGTCAGGTACACTGCGTGGACGGCCTACACGGCCACGTTATTGTGAAAACTACCGCAGACTTGGCTGTCTGAGCGCGTGGTTTGTTCACGGTGAGCCGTTGATGTGTCCGCGCTGGCGGAATAAGTGCTCTGAGTTGAACACGCGCTGTGTCTCCGCGCACGTGTCTGGGACTCCGTGGGGCCCACACAGCGAGCTCCGTTACAACCAGAGTTACGGTTTTATTCCGCGAGGAATCACGCCGGCTGAAACCCGCTCCGGCCGTTTACAGCTGTTTTCTGCTCCACGAGACGTAGCTCGCGCTAACGTTAGCCCGGTCTGTGTGTTTGCGGTTCCGTGAGAGTGTCCAAACATCACGGCCACGCGGAGCACGCCGCGAGCACGCCTGTCGTTCAAAGCCCACACAGGAGGCGGTGAGTCGCGTCTCAGCCCCGTTACTTTTATTAAGCGTGTTTCTGAGTGTGTGTTTGAACAGCCGCGTGGTGTGCGTGTTGTGCTGGGTCCCTCAAGTGGTCGGAGTCGGTGTCTAAATGTGGAGCGACCCGGGTGAACGATCCAAGATGGCGGCACTGGCGTAAGCAGCCACGTACTGGTTGCTTTGGCTCGCAGCAGCTGTCTCACCTGCAGTGACTCGGTCTCTAACGTCGGTTTTTCACTAGTGCCTGCTTGGCTGCGTGGGGTCAACAACGTGACACCAGTGGAATGGTTGGCCCACCAGTGGCACCGCTTAGTGAGTCTTGAGAGTAACTCAAAAACCTAAATGACCTTTATTTAAAAACACAACTGGACAAAGCACCACAGCGCGGTCTGTGAGCCTGACAGAAGCCGGACACGAGCAACAGGATCACCAGCCTGACTTCCTCTGTGGCGTCTTTTATCGCTGTGACGGCCCCACTCACGTGGCGAATAACTTCATGTTTGAACGTGTTGTTCCAGCATGGCTTGTTCTGAAGAGGTGGATATGACGTCTGAAGGTTCTGCTGGTATTTCACAGCCTGTGGGTCGTCTGTGGGTCGTCTGTGGGCTGACTCACACCTACTGCAGTCTGCCAAAGTTCCTCCAGTGCGCTCGATGTGATGTGTGTGTGAACGTCAGTGGATAAAAGTGCTTAAGAGCAGAGGATTGGGTGGATGAGTGTTATAGATGTGTCTGTTTACACATATAATAACGATTCATGCTTTCAGGTTTCAGTCCTCGCATGGACAGAGGAGGAAGAGGTGGAGGAAGAGGTGGAGGCAGAGGAGGGTTTGGTGACCGCGGAGGACGAGGAGGATTCCGGGGAGGATTCCGGGGAGGAAGAGGTGAGACTGGAAACGTGCCGTTCGTATCATCACATCGTGGATGTGATCCTCAAACGCCAGGATGACAACTTGAAGCAATTAAAAGTGTTTTTATTCAGGTATCTGCTAATAATATAATATTCTAGGCTGTTAAGTTCAAATAGTGACAGTCTCGGAGTTAAAGCAGCTCACAAAACACTCTGTGCTCCACTTGATCACAAACAGCAGATGAAGCGTTGCTTTGTATTTGTTTCTCCAGTTACCGAGCAAGCTTCAAACGCCGCTGCTTCGACCACCGCGTTTTAACCACGCATTGAGCGCTCCACTCTTTCTTAACCCTTTAAGACCTTTAAGAACCAAGCCCGCCAGAGCTTATCTTTATACTTGCACATGCTGTAGTAGTAGTAATAATAATAATGTATTGCATTTATATAGCGCCATTTTTGGGAGCATTTCAAGTTGTTATACATCAATACAACCGTTATAGCCCACATTTTAATGATACGTATGCATCGAGTCCATAGTAACTGCATAAATTGCAAAAAAGTGCAATAAACTCCAAAAAAATCTTTTTTGTTCTTTTACATATACTTCTATTCAGAGAAATTTAAGAGGCTTATCCCTCAAAACTGCAAATACAAAAAAAGTTGCACAAAATAGTTTCCAACCACAGGAAATTTATTTTGAGTGTCTTCATAGTTTTATTTTTGAAATACACCAATTTTTATATACTGCAGGAAAAACAACAATAAATATTATAATGCAAATTTGCATAAAAACCAGCTTGTGCATCAAAATAAACTATTTCCAGCAGTGCAGTGTGAGGATCCCAGAAACTATTGAGAAAAGCACAGAGTCAAACATGACTTTTATAAACACCAGTGTAGGCTTATGAGCCCCCGAAGGTAAGAAAAACTACATTTTCTGTGAAAAAGACGTCACTTCCGGTTTCGGGCAGGTCATGGCGAACATGCATAGTTCACGCTGACGTCTATTCCAATGTGGGAAGTGTTACGAACAGCTGATCGGATCAGCAAAGCGTGTTTCTGGAATATTATGTTTTTGTTGCTATAAAGCCACATGTGGAAGGAAACTGACCGAGGATGAGATGTAAGTACAACTCCTCCGGTTTCATGTGCAAAAATGATTGCACAAGCTTACGTGGTTCCAGTTCTACGGGGATTTAAAAATAGTTACGCCAAACAGAGCGTGCCGCTCCGACCGGCTTTGAAAGGTTAACATTACAGCTAAAGTTCTGGTCTCGGCGTCAGAGCAGTTCCACCTTCATTTATAGGTGATAATGCCTGCTAACCCACAGCACTGTGGCTTTATTTCAGTAACTGTGAGACTCTGAGCTGAGGCTGACGTTTGCTTAGTGAAAGACTTAAACAGCAGTGAAACGTTTCAGAGGGGGTCCTCGACTAAACGAACACGATGGCAAAAGAAGCTCCTGAACTCTCAGCATTCATAACTGTTTGTAACAAACACAAAGTGGATTTCAGATACACGCAACGCTTGTCCACAGAGGTGTGTGTTGGCTCACTGATACATGCCCCGCAGTCTTACAGACAGCTGTGCAGCTCACATGGATTCAAACAGTGGAAAAGAAAAACGAGACCATCAGATGGTGATGAAGAGGTCCCACCTTCAGCAAACACTGGAGGTTAAGTCTGATGTGATTGCAGCCATCCCCCCACTCTCTGTGAATGGTACTCATGACCATTGGTCAGTGACCGAGGAGCTGACCTCCAGCCCGTTGTTCCTTCAGTGGTGCTGGTTTCAGTCATTATGTAAATGTCCTGTTTGTAAGGTTGTAGACCTGCAGTCAGCTGACACTTGATGATGATGATGACGTTTCTCCCACTGAAAACTTCCAGAAGAACAGAACCCACCTTCTAGGTTTTACCTACCTGGATGATTAAATCAAGATAAAAGTTGCCACGAAGTATACAAACAGTGAACTGACAGTCAGCCCTCAGCTCGTCTGTTCTTATTCTGGGAAGAAAACATCAGTTTCCACGTAAATATGAGCCACATGACTCGTTTCACTGTGGCCACTGGACACGTT